TTTAAACCTCTTGAAAACAACCAAGGAGAGCCTAGAAGAGGAAAGATCTGTGTTTTGAATTATTCTTCTCTCTTCTTCACTTTGATGCAGGGGTTCTGAGAAAGTTTCCAAGATTTTGAAATGGATTGCCAACAAACTGTAAATGCCTGCCGTATTAGTTGCTAGAGGGGATACTGTTTTAGCTTCATTATTGCTTTCCTGGAACTGCATAGTTGTTTTTCTAAGATCTTGAGGAGTACTATAAGTATAAAAAGATGTATCTTTCGTCTTAAACTAGCTTCTTGGCAATATTTTTTATTTCAGTTCCAATAATCGACCTACATGGCGCCGATCGACTAGTAGCGAACATTCGTGAGGACGAGAATGTCCTCAGCACTGTGCCTGATCTTTCAATTGTGGCAGAAACAGGTTCGTCACATTTCTCACTCGTAATTCACAATGAAACAACTGAGATCGGAAAATAGGCTCACGGCTCAAAAGAAGTTTAGTTGAGACAGATAACCATAGTGAACTCTTAGTTTGTCAAAGTATTGGAGATTAAAGCGCGGATGACGGTTGCTCCGCTTCCCGTTTCTAAGTAGTAAAAGCGAAGTAGGGAAATGTTCTGTGCTCTTGAAATATTTGTAAAGAAGGAGGTTTTATATGTTCATTGTGAACTGTTGTATCGCTTTGCAGGTTGTAGCAATCCCTAGCAAAATTTTGTGGTCCATTCGCTAGAGAATCCTGATTTTTTAGAATTGAATAAAAATTCAGATCTCTAAGCATATCCTGAAAGTTTTCACGCATTTTTTATGAGTGGCGAAAACAGTTAGCCCAGGCCTCAAGAAGTTTTCCACTGCTTAAAAATAAATGTCATCTTTTTACGTTACATACATGGATGAATTATATCTTATTCAGGATCTGCTACTATATCTTTTCGTTATCTCACTTTGGTTAGATGACATTCTCTGCAGTACACACGATTCACAAAATGTCCTTTGCACTCTCAAGAGTTGTAAAGTCCTTCTGCGAAGCAGTGCTTTTCATTGTCACAGGGCACTCATTCAAAGTGCAGATAGTCTGACACGAATTGTCCTATAAAGTGTCGTCAAGTCTAGCAGAATAGTTTCCTCCTTTTTGCTGATTATTCCATAGCACAACCTCTATTTAGTATGCTACATTTCATTACACCTCCGGCTGAGTTAAAGCGGTTCTCAATTCTTATGGGGAATTTTACCCCTCAACTAGTGCAGTGCTTGAATCGATAGGTCCTCGATAGTGTGGTACTCGCATGTAACCATCCATGGTGGGCGCATTCAAGCGAGAACACAAATGAATAATTCCGTAGAACAAGTGTCGTGTCGCCTTGGGCTAAGCATGAGAGAAAAATAATTGTGAAAGCTCTCTCTTTTCAATATCACTAAGAGATCTCTGCAATGCGATGTTTGTTGTAATGCTAACTCTCATTATTTATCCGACGCTTTGCGGGGCTTCGCAATTTTGCAGTATGCTCCCTATCATGTGCAAAAATTGATGATGAAGATGAAGAAGTTGATCAAGCGTTTCTCGAGGAGACATGGATGCGAAATGATTTCGTCATTAAGACACGAGAGGGGTATGCGCATGCAAAACAGCTCAAGCGAGCTAATCCGACGGTAGCTTTATCATGTGCTACTCGGCTAAGCTTCATCGCCACCAACATCTCGCTGAACGAATTTGCACTGAAGACTCTTAGTGGTGAAGACATATGTGTGAAACTAAACGGTTTAAGCACACCGTTTCCTGCGAATAATATCAAACAGACCGAAGCGGAATAACTTGTCTCTCGTTGCTGCATGCTAATTGAGAAGTACACTTCTTCATGTCCCTATATGGTAACAAGACACTTTTACAATACCTCTCTTCGGTATTTAAAAGAGGCTGACTAACCTTTATGCAGATTGCCTTATCAGCGAAATTGATGAAATCCCTCATCGAAATAGGATTTCACATATTCGCATAGATTAGTCCAGAAATGTGGTAACATGGAATCTCGCCTCGCAAAACTGTTTGCGTAATGAAGGGATCAAAAACAAGAATTCTGTCAAGGATTTTGTTAGGGTTTCATTCAGTCATAACAAAAGGAGTAAAACCTTAAGTTTATCGATGCAGCTGACGACAATCAAACAAAATTTGTATCAATCACTTTTTCAGGCCCAGTCTGTAAATACCTTCTAACTTCTTCGGAGAAGGAAATACCGTTTGATGTGCAAGTTATCGATCAGTACACTGGCGCTGCCGTCATTAGGGTCAAGGTAGTTTTTAC